TGAGCCTGGGGGCGCGCAGACGTCGATGCGCGCTGGCGAGAGCCCGGAGGAGAGATTTGCTTGCGGGGGTGCGCGGGAAGGGCTCGCAGAAGCTCTGCGTAGGAGGGATCTGCCCGCTGTGGCCGTGCCCTGGGCGCGAGGAGCTTTGGGAAGGCCCCGCTCAGGGCTCGGGGCTGGTGCTCAGGCCCTGCGTGGGTCACAGGCAGGAGCGGGGTGCTGTTTGCGGTGCAAAAGCAGGCTTAGGCTGAGGGGCTAGGAAGGCAGATGGAGCTGACTTTCTGCTATCAGGTGTTCAGAGCGATGCCTGTACGTAAAGGCAGCAAGACAGGCAGTAATTTTGGCTGGGTAGGAGGAACAAGACAAGAAGGACTCTACAGATGGTGATTGACTTGGACCTGTGAGTTAGAGCCCTCAGAGATAAGGGTTCACCTTTAGCCAGAACAGTGTCCGTTTTCTCTCTTGCAGTCAGCAGGGCTATGAGACCTTGGAGAAAGAAGAGAGCAGGGAATGACCTGCCAGACAAGATCCTAAGGAGGACAGCAGGGAGTAGGCTGTGTGCTGGTTGAACTGTTCCAGAAGCCAGATTCTATCAGAGGTCTGCAGCAGAGAGGAAGAAGGCATGGGAACCCAGGACAAGTCTGACAAAGGAACTTGGAGTGTGCGTGTGACCCTGGAAGAGGGAATATTTCAGTTAACTTAAACCCATTCCCTTCCTTTCCCCCTCTCCCACGTGTGAGTCTGCTTCTGGTTATAGTTCACTTCAAGGGGAGCATCACAGAGAAAAAAGAGCAGAGCCACTCCACAAAGGAGGATAAACCAGGAGCTGAGGGAGACCCTGGTGCAGACAGAGCCCTCACCAACAGGGCCCACTACCACAGAATCTGAACAGAGCAGGGTGCTGGCAACAGGATCCACCGTCAGTCCCAAGCAAGGTGGGCAGCGAATGAAGTCTAGGACTTCGCCAAGGAATCCCTTCAGGAGCAAAGGGAGGTAGGGCCAGAAGCAGATCTGGAGCAAAAGCTACAATGTGCACCATCTACAAGATGGGGCTAGAGAAATGACTGGGAATAAGGCTACCTGCAGCATAAGTTCAAGGAGAGTCCAGGAAGTAGGATTGGAGGCAGGACTTGAAACAGGTACAGCTGCAAAATAGGTCAGGTAAGCAAGCACAGAAAGCTCAGGCCTGAGCTTAAATGGAGCTCCATGGCATATGAGCAGGGTGAGGGGTGGAAGTCCCCGGTGAGGCTGATCAGGGCAATTAAAGCCTGTTAGTGCACTCAGGGCCCTGACAAGGAAGAGATTTCATTCAGCTGCTGTCTAACAATATGACTTTAAATTAGTCATCTCTCCTTCACTGAAGTTCTTTCCCTTTTGTTTAAGGTATACGTTAATAAACGTAGCGCTCTGTTCCCTTTACCTTTGTAATGGGGCTTCCCCCCACCCCTTCCTTCTCTTCCCCCTCCCTCCCCTTCAATAGAGCATACAGCAAAACCTCCTAAGGACAAAGGGAGATGAGAAAGAGCACTGTTCTGAAAGTTCTGCGTTAGAGCTGCTAGAGATAAAGAAGCAGCAGTCGGTGGGTACTATTGTACTCTTGATGTTCCTCTATTCCTTTGCTCTTAGCTGTCTCCAGATGCTGCTGTGCCCAGTTACATGTGGTCCTGTGCCTCTTGCATGCAAGTAGGTAGTACTTTTTGAACGTGTGCTTGGGCAGGTAGTGTGCCCAGCAAGAGACATCTGTGGTGTCTGGGGAAGACGCCACTTTTGCAGTGCTGGGAAAAAAAGCAGCTCGTGCAGTGGTTGACTTTTATGTGAGCTTCTGTTATCCTGTAAAGATGCTGTTGCCTGGGGTGTAGAGAAGGGGTGCTCAACTGAGGGCTTGTTGAATATGTGCACTCTCAGACCCTGCAGCGCTTGTGCAATCTTTGATTTTTGTCAGGGAGAATACTCTGTTCTCAGGCGCCCACGTCTGGTCTGCAGCTATTGTGCCTAGAATAACTGAGGTCTGTGCTGCAGAAAGGCAACTGCTCCCAGGAACCAGTATATCTCTGAGCTCTTATAGCTTCCATTTATTTTGAGCAGTAAGAGGTAGCCACAAGCTTCACCTGCAAAGCTCAGCACAAGTTCTGTGCCTTGTTGTCTCAGGCAGAAATGAAGAGATGCAGCCTTTGCTGCTGTGAGAAATTGGGGAAATGCATTACTGGCTGTGCTTAGAATACACTTGCTTCACAGGCTCACTTTGCTTCTCATCCTGGTTAGTAAGCATCTCCCTCTCCTTGCAGGCCTTTACTATTTAGGTCTGTTCACGCATGCTAGATGAGTGCTTCTGTTCAGAGATGTAACTATCCAGGTGTGCTCCCCTGGGTTGTGCCTATAACTCTCCAGATGACAAGGTAGAGCGGTACCATACAAAGAAAGCTCCTATTTTGTTCTGGATTTCCCAAGGCAGTAGTGGGAGACCCTAGTGGGAGTAGTGGGGTCTGCTACATCAAACCAAGTTTGACTGACTTTTGCCACTGCTTGCTTCTGTCTGTTTCTCTGTTTCTGTTCCTTTTCATTCCTTCCTCTTGGCTGGCATATCTCTCTCATTAAGACCCCCGGAAGAGCAATCTTTCACCTCATGAGTGAGCATTCACATGAGAGAGCTTTGCTCTTCCAACTTTTTCGTGACCAATAACAAGTGAAGAGGTGGCATGGGTACTCAAACGCTTGCTGGATCCTTTCTTTAATCGCTCTCAAAAGTACCTAGCAATGTTGCTGCACTACTTGCCTAGGTTTGCAGAAGTTCTGGAAAGAGCAAGCTAGTCCTTTGCTTTGGACAGGGTAAGACAGACCCTTGAGAAAAATGCATTAAGTATAACTATGTTCAAACGTTGCTGCAAACCAGAAGAAGGAAGATTAAGATGTATACAGTCAGTTATGGGCAATCGAGCATGAAAGACTACCTGTCTTTCTTCAGTTTGTTTTTAATTCATTGTAAGCTATGTACATCTTTCACTTAGGCCAGCCTAATATAGTAAGGTGTGAAGGGGCTTTGGCCTCCCTCCTATTTGCTAAAGTCTCTGGAATGTCTGTTGATTTCAGTTTGGCTTCACAAGAAGCCATTAGTATAGGAAGCGAGGTTGAAAAGCTAAGGATTTGGACAGTGCTGAAAGATGGGGTGTGATTTTTGTAGATCATATTTCTTTTTTTTGCTACCTTTATAGAATCTCAGCATGTTTAGAAAGGGTAGATCAAATCTCACAGTACTCGGGGGAAGAAGAGAGCTTCCCATTTTACAGGCATGTGGCAGTGACAAGTAGGTGTCTCTGCCCTGAAAGTCATCGGCAGAGACAGGCAGAGCAGAGCCAGTCCTATCTCCCTATCCAGCAAACAAGTGAAATTGCCCTTCAAATCAGTGCACTGCAGTTTTGAACAATAGCTCCAGCAGTGCGAACAGCTGTGAGATCTGATCTCAGTATACTGAGATCAGTATATCAGTATATGGGGCAGTTTTCCAGTTGACTGTGCTGCAGTGGCTGAGGAGTGCACATGGCTTGATGAGAGGGGCTCTCTTTTTGTCTCCCCAAGACAAGTCTATGTAAACTTTTCCTTGGTGTGAGAGGAGGAGGAGGATTTGCCAGGATGCTTTAGACTTCAACTTATCAACTGCTTCAACTGCTTGGGACCAACCCAAAGTTCTTGACGATGGAAGCTGAATAACACTGAGAACTCGTGCTTTCTTTACTTATTGTTTAGATCCAGCTGGTTAAGTCTGA